AGGGAAGGAGAAGGTGGGGGCTGCTTTGAATCAACCGACCCTCTGTCATGAACAGACCCTCACAACCTCCGTGATAAGCATGTTGAACACGAGTAAAGAAGAGACAATTCTAATTCCAGTCAGCCTAGTCACAGGCCTTTTTTAGGTCCTGTGAAGCGCTACAAAGCCCAAGCCATTTGGGTTGTTGGTGCAAATCCCTCCCCTTCCAATGGTTCAGTGAGTGCTAATCCTGGCTCTGTACTTGAGGACTCTGAGGGGAAAGGGTCTTGGTATCTATAATATTAAAAGCATAATATGCTAATTAGACTGGACAGCTGAACAACCTTCCAGACAACCTTCCGGAGAAGCCAGAGCTGCGAGGGCCGAGGCAAGCTGCTGTGGCTGCGAGGGCTGAGCCACTTGCATGAATTTCGTGCATCGGGCCTCTATTATAACAGAGGAAGCTGAAGTCTCCCGAAGCAATGTGGTGGGAACGTGGGCAGGCCTGGGGTCCTGCAGAACCTGCACTCTTTGTGACTTCAGCAAGCCCTTCACCTGCTTTGAGTCTCCTTATTTTTAATGACGGAGGTCAGGGGAGAAAGTGGGACCCTGGAGGTGAACAGACTTTGGTCTGAGTGCTGACTCTGCCGCCCACCAGCAGTGTGATCCTGAACAAGTTACTTAAGGACTAGAAGCCTCAGTCTCCTCACCTGGGACGATTACTAATTGTGTGTGTCACCTTGACTGGTTAAACATTAACCTGCATATTTCTGTGGGGTGTTTGTGGATAAGAGTCACATTTAAACAAGTAGACTGAGTAAAGCAGATGAATCAGTGAAGGCTTAAATGGCACAAAAAGGTTGACCCTTCCCAAGAGAACTTTTCCTAACTGGCTGCCTTTGAATTGGGAAGTGAGCTTTTTCCTCCTGTTTCCAACTGAAATATTGGCTCTTCCTGGTTCTCAGGCCTGCAGACTCAGACTGAACTCCACCATCAGCTTTCTCTAGCTTGCCGAGTCATCCTGCAGATCTTGGCACTTGTGACCCGCCATAAGCACATGAACCAGTTCCTTCCAATAAACCTCTCTCTCTCTCTCTCTCTCTCTCTCTCTCTCTCTCTCTCTCCACACACACACACACACAATCTACTGGATGTTTGTCTAGAAAACCCTGACTAACACGCCTATCAAAAGATAATAGCTACCCACAATTGTTCCAAGGATTAAAGATTATATGTATGGTATGCCTGGCAGATAGTAGATGCTCAATAAATGATAGCCATTACTTCCTCCAAAGTTGTTTCCACCTTTAAAATCCTCTCCTTTGAGTGATGTCTTTAGCAGATGACAAGACAAAATTAACCGGTCACATCTTCATCTTTACCTACACGGGGGGAGGGGCAGGCTTCCTGAATTTTTAAGCTCTCTGCCTCTCAGAGCCCACGTGGGCCACACTAAATAGAAAC